GGCACGTACATGGTAGTAAAAGACAAAACCATACTCTCTCTCTTTGTATATACAAATGTGTGTGTAAGTACGTAAGTATGTGTGGGAGGCTGTGAGTGAATGATGTAGCCAAACGTTCATGTAGGGTTTTAAAGTTGTTGATGTTGTTAGTTGCCATCAAGTTGATTCTGACTCGTGGCGACCCCATGTGTGCAGAGTACAGCTGTTCTATATGGTTTTCAAGGCTGTGAGCTTTTGGAGGCAGATCACCAAGCCTGTCTTAACGGGAGCGTCTGCGTGGGTTCCAACCACCAAATGTCCAACTAAGTGTCCAGGGCTTAACAATTTGCACCACCCAGATACCAGAGTTTTGCAGTAGAGACTGTAAAACAAATGGCCCTCGCGGAGGTCACCTTCCTCTGTGGAACCATTGGCTGTATTTCTCACTCATGGACCTCCTCACTGGGGCACCAAATGGGGACTGACTACCTACTATTTGGGTCTCCTGAAGGTGAGCCAGAGCATCACCCTCAATTCCTTCTGACCTGCCATCGCCACTGGTCATTACTCATGATGCCACAATGGCCTACTCTCTGAGTCCTTGTCCTGGTTGTTGTAGCTCAGTGAGTCTAGAAAAGCTAATGAGCCAATTATAAGAGAGGAAATCAAGGTACTCATCCCAACCTAAGCCATGAGTTAATTTCATGTGAAAGCTCAAGAAGACCTGTATATCTATACCTGTGCACAAAAAACTGGGTAACTGTTAACATGGAATTGACTTAGAATTCTAAAGAAATCAATGTGGGAACAGGTAGTTAAGCAATTATGTACACAAATAATTATACTGATAATTATATATGTATGTATATGTACACACATAAATATGTATGTGTTTAAATAATATAAATATATATTGCAAGCAAATAATCTAAAAAGAAAACACATCCGGTCATATCCCAATGCAGTAAACCCCACTTAGAAGGCCTAGAGAGTTCCTGGCCTTTCCTTCCTGTTTTTTAGTTCGGAAAAGGCGGAGGGAGAGGCACTGGAGGAGGGGTGTTTAGCATTTGTGGAGCAACATTGCCATCAAGCGGAGGATTTTTGAGCTCGGTCTCGAGCCTCTCTAACTGTATCTTGTTGAGAAGGTCTACGATATGAGGAAGGATGGGTGGGGGGCACTCACAGGGCTCATGGAACTAATCTGGCCACCTCCTGGGTGGATGTGAACACTGCAGGGCCATGCTCTGTGACAAAGGAGCCCCAGGCTGCCAGGCCTGCCTAGTTCAGGGAACTGAGGGGCGTGGCCTCCGTGGCCGGCCCGCCATGTTTGGGAGAAATGGGAAATGTGGGTTTCCTCCCTAAGTTTGAATGCCAAAGGAAAATGTCCTTGAGTCCAGCACAACTAGGTGGTGCCTGGCTACCACCACCGACTGCTCTGACAGGGATCACAATAGAGGGTCCTGGATAGAGCTGGAGAAAAATGTAGAACAAAATTCTAACTCACAAAAAAAGACCAGACTTAGTGGCCTGACAGAGACTGAGAAACCCCACGAGTATGGCCCCAGGACACACTTTTAGCTCGGTAATGAAGTCACTCCTGAGGTTCACCCTTCAGCCAAAGATTAGACAGGCCCATAAAACAAAACGAGACTAAAGGGGCACACCAGCCCAATGGCAAGGACTAGAAGGCAGGAGGGGACAGGAAAACTGGTGATTGGGAACCCAAGGTCAAGAAGGGAGAGTGTTGACAAGTCGTGGGGTTGGTAACCAGTGTCATAAAACAATATGTGTTTAATGAGAAACTAGTTTGTTCTGTAAACCTTCATCTAAAGTACAGTAATAAGAAAAAAAAAAAGAATAAGACCAAAAAAAAAAAAAAAAAAAGAAAAGTAAAAGAAAATGTCCTTAAGGGGGAAAAAAAAGGTCTCTAGAAATTTGGCAAGGTGAAGACCTGAAATAAAAAATTCTGGAATATCTCCACCTCGGTATCAACAAGTTAAATCCATTTCTCTATGTGCGGATGAAATGTGAGATAGACTTGGTTTCTTCCTGGCTCTGTTTCCATGTTCAGCCAACCCATTAACATGCATTCTTTCAGAAGTCAAACATTTCCACTAATCTCCTAAGGAAACAGTACAGCCACAGTCTCCATTTCTACAGAACAAGCCCAAACCTCTAGGTTTCCATTTTACACATACAGACATGATATGGTGACAATACTAGTCTGGTCATCATTACTACTGAGCTGAAACTAGAGCACACCCCATACCCAGAGAAATACACAAGCTTCTCTCCCCTCTATCTATGCTCCCACGGAAGTGTACACTGTTGGCATGGGAGTCTATAATTCGTGTATAGAGTTTGGATCACCTTGTAAACTCTCCTGAAAGCTGAGCCGTACACATGGAAAAGTTAAATCTGTTTCTCACTATAAAGAAGGTTCGGAGAGGGGATGGAAAGGAGAGGAAAAGGCTTGGTAGTGGTCCTAGTACAATGGTAATGGATGTTTTCTTTGAATGGGTTGTGGCTCTATACAGAGTGGACCCTGAAATGTTTAACAAAAACCAGTCCTTCAGGTAGAGCTTTATGGTAGAGACTATAAAATAAGTGTCCCTCTCAGAGGTCATCTGCCTGTTTGGCACCATTGGGCATTCCTTCTGACTCATGATTCTCCAACCTGGGACACCAAATGGGCAATAACCACCCGTGTCCCCTGAAGGTGAGCCAAGGCATCAACCTCACTCTCTTCTTACTTGCCGTAAAAATCCCAAACCCACTGCCATTGAGTCGATTTCAACTCATAGCTACCCTAAAGGACTGAGTAGAACTAATCCATAGGAGTTCCAAGGCTGTAATCTTTATGGAAGCCAACTGCCACATCTTTTACCCTTGGAGCGTGGGTTCAAACCGCAGACATTTCCGTTAGTAGCCAAGTGTGCCACCAGGCTCCTTCTTACCTGCCATAGCCACTGTTATTTACTCTGGATACCACAATGGCCTACTCTCTCCCTGGGGTAGACTCCTGTATCCGTGCCCTTGACCCAGTAGCTCATGAGTCCAGAAAAGCCAATGAGGCAATCATAAGCGAGAAATCAAGATATTCATCTTGAGTCAAGCCATGAGTGAATTTCCTATAAAAGCTAAAATCCTACCCAAGACCTGTATACCTACAACTGTAACCAAAAGAATGAGTATCTGGTAACACAGAATTCTGACATAGGAGTCTTACCAAAATAGATTAGTAATACGTCAAGATAAACATACCTGTATATAGGTATATTTATATATGCACACACACACATACATACTGTAAATAAAAACTCGGGAAAAAAAGAGACAGTGTTTTTCCCAATATCCCAGTGCAGTAAACCCCACTTGGAAGGTCTGGATGGCTTCTGAGCCTACCTTGTCATTTTTTAATCAAAAAGGGGTGTGGTGGGGGGAGGCCACAAAGAAGGGGTGTTTGGCATTTGTGGAGCAACAGTGCCATCAAGCGGAAGTTTTTGAGCATTGTTTCAAGCACAGTTCGCTGTATCTCCTGGATGTGTGCACCACAGAATAGATTCCGAGTCATACTGACTTTATAGGACAGAGTAGAACTGCCCCATAGGGTTTCCTAGGCTGCAATCTTTGTGGGAGCTGATGTCTAGGTCGTTTCTCCTGTGAAGTGTTTGGTGAGTTCAAACGGCGGACCTTCTGGTTAGCAGCCAAGTCCGTATGTACCCATTTCGCCACCCGGGGGCGGCGGGAATAACCGATGTAGTGGACTCCGTTCCCACTCATAGTGACTCTATAGGATAAAGGAGAACTGCCCCATAGGGTTTCCTAGGCTGAAATCTTTGTGGGAGCTTATCTCTAGGTCATTTCTCTTGCGGAGTGGTCGGTGGGTTCAAACAGCGGACCTTTTGGTCAGCAGCCAAGTCAGTACCCACTTTGCCACCCGGAGGGGTTAAAGAAAAACCCCATTGCGGTGGAGTCCATTCCGACTCATAGCGTCCCTATAGGATAGAGGAGAACTGCCCCACAGGGTTTCCTCGGCTGAAATCTTTGTGGGAGCTGATGTCTAGGTCTTTTCTCCTGCGGAGTGGTTGGTAAGTTCCAACGGCGGACCTTTTGGTTAGCAGCCAAGGCCGGACTCGTTTTGCCACGGGACTGGCGGGGCGGGGCGGTGTCTATTGCGTGCGGTCGATTCCGACTCACAGCCACCCAATAGGACAGAGAACTGCCCCATAGGGTTTCCAAGGCGCGTCTGCTGGATTCGATCTGCCGGATCTTTTGGTTAGCAGCGCAACTCTTAACCACCGTGCCACCGGGGTACCTTATCTCCTGGATAGGGCCTCTGATATAAGTTGAGGTGGGTTGGGGGCACTCAGAGAACTCCGTGCCCTGACCAGGCCACTTCCTGGGTGGGTGTGAAAGCTACAGGGCCAGGCTTCCGGATAAGGAAGCCCCAGACTGCCAGACTTGCCCGGCTCCGGGACCCGTGGGGGCGTAGCCTAGGTGACCGCCATGTTTGAGAGAAATGAGAAACGTGGTATTCCTAACTCTGGATTCCAAAGGAAAATGTCCTCAAGGGGGGAAAAAAAAGTCTCCAAAAATATGGGATGGTAAGACCTGAAACTAACAATCCTGCAGTATTTCCACCTCAGGATTCACAAGTTAAATCTATTTCTCTATGTGTGGCTGAAAAGTGAGAAGCACCTGGTTTCTTCCTCTTTCCACGTTCAGGTGACCCATCAGCATGCATCCTTTCAAAAGTCAATGTCTCTACCAGTCTCCTAAAGAAACTGTGCATTCAGTCTCCATTTCTACATAACATACTCAACTCCCTAGGTTTCTAGGTTGCACATACAGACAAGATCTGGTGACATTACTAGCCTAGTGATCGTTATTGCTGAGCTGAAACTAGAGTACCCTCCATATCCACATAGAGAACTACACAGCTTCTCTACCCTCCAGGCATGCTTCCATAGAAGCGTGCACTGTTTGCACTGGAGTCCGTGATCCATGTTTAGGGTTTGGATCACCTTGTAAACCTTATTGAAAGCTGAGCTATATACAGGGAAAAATTAAACTGGTTTCCCATTAAAATGATTTTTGGGAGAAGGGGCGGAAGGGAGAGGAACAGTCTTGGAAGGGGACCTAGTACATGGTAGTGGGTATTTTCTTTGAATGGGATGAGGTTCTAACCACTGTGGCACCTCTATGGCAGTCACGGACAAACAAAACTATGTGTGTGTATGTGTTTAAGAAGATGTGAGTGTAGGATGTAGCCAAACCTTCACAGAGACCTTTACAAAAGAGACTGTAAAGCAAATGACCTGGGGTACCAAATGGGCATTGTCTACCTGGGATTCCTGAAGGTGAGCCAGGGCATAGATCTTACTGTCTTCTGACATGCCTTGGGCACTAGTAATGACTCCTGCTGCTGCTACAATGGCCTACTCTCTGGGGTCTGGCTCCTGAGTCCTTTTCCTGGATGAGATACCCCATGCCTCAGGGAGTTCTGAATTTGCAGGACTCTGTCTTTCGTCCTGGCTGGGACCCTGTTTCCTCCAATCCCAGGCCGCTCCAGAAAGCAACACTGGTGGATTAGTGGCCTTGGCAAACAATTTATACTTGATGGCAACATTGCACCAGAAATGTCAGTGCATGCCTTCCCTAGGACCTCGCCCTCCACCCTTTGCTTTAGAAAAGACACTGACCATTGTCCAGCCTCCCTAAAGAATGGTGCCTCACCATCTTGTCCACTTTCGGGGAGCGAGTTCTCATATCTTGTGCTGAGTCTCACAATCTGTATGTGGGCACTAAGTTTTCTTCCTTCCTGAAGAGGAAAAAATTTCTCTCCTCCCAGGTGCCCTGTGGGTGGACCTAAATCTATTCATATCTGCCCCACTGCCCACCAGGGAACAGTCTAACTTGAGCTTTCTTACACCTCACTGAAAAGCCAGTTGGACAAACCTATGAGGTCTCTAGGAGTTGGACATACAGAGGGGCGCCCACAGGCAATGTGGCATAAAAGGTAAGGGGAAACTCAAATCACCAGACCATGAGCCTGAGGGCCTGCCTCTTCTCAGCTGACACCCCGAGGGTTTCTAACCTTGGTTGTACACATAGGTCAGGAGGGGAGCCCTGTGCCATACCAGGGACAACAGACAATACGGCTTTGCGTGGAGAACATGCAAGTGTGTGCATGCCCACGGAGACCCACGTGTTTTAACTGGGAGCATTCGCAAGGGAATGTGGATACTTTGAGGTTTCTTTTAGACACTCTGGGGGAAATTACAGGATGAAAAGACAGCCTCTGTATACTTGTGGTCCATGTGAAAACAGAAAACGTCTTTGTTTAAAATGCTACCACCACATATGCTAGAATAATGCAATTAAACTGATGCTATCCTCCTCGTCCTCAGAATACTGACCGATGCTCATTCAGAAATACATGTTTAAGCAGAATTTGTATGTGTATTTACTGCAGTGTGCTGTGAGGTAAGTGTTGCCTGGTTTCAGCTTGTCTCTGAGAGTTGCCTAAGTCTTCTGGGAACCCTCCGGGTGGTTCCACTCCTGCTCACAGTCAAAGTTTCACAGGAAAAAATATCCACAGCCCATATACTGTGGTCTTGTGAATGACTTTTGTTTTTACCACTCACAGGTAGTGGCACAGCAAGTTCCACCCTGTACCTTTCCATCTCAGGACTGTCTGGTCTTTGTGCTTGGTTCTGGAAATTTGATGACCTTTTTCCTCAAAGTCTCACTTAGCTTTGCAGACCGCCCAGACATGGGCCAGAGCCTTCTCTTTTGGCAAACCTGTACTTTCCTCCAATGCCAGCCTGCCCAACAACAGACATTCATACCGCAGTTCACGGGATGCTCAAAGGATTCCGCTTGAAGACAGTATGGCTCCTCTATACATGTCCACCCTGCCTCCCCTCCCCAGCCTATTACCAGTCACCTCCCTTGCTCAGAGAAAACACAAGCCAGTGTCCAGCCTCCCCAAACTTGTCATTCTGGCACGCTTTGGGGAAAGCCCCTCACTGACGCACCTTTTGTGGCTTAATCATCTGGAGGTCTTTCTTCCTCTAGATTTTGTTGTGCTTTGCAAGTGGAAGACAGGAATCATACCTCCTCAAGTCATCACACTTTCAGGTTGGTTTGGCAAGAGATGGAGTTACAGAGCGTAGAGAGCTATATGGGTCATGCTGCCCCTTACGCCTCTCCCAAGTCTTCTGCACTACTAGAATATTCTAGCAACTGCTCCTTACCACTTCCTCACTCACCTGGCTGATCAGGAGAAATCATGGGAGAAACAAGTAGGGAGGGCTCAACTCAGAGCAGAAGGCAAACGCCTTCAACACCTGATTCTTCTCAACAGGTCCCCAACAGTCTCTCCCCACAGGAGGCTTGAACTGCTCCTTCCCATAGGTGAGGTGGGTAGTCAAATGGTCTTCTCTCAGGCAGATGGCCTCACAGGGCTCCAGCCTTCAATGGCTTTCCTCTCTCCCCTGCCCTACAGGACACTGACCTCCCATTCCCTGCACCTCTGCCCTTAAGGTGGATATAGATCCTCTCTATGCTGCTCTATGCATCTCCAAGGTTGAATTACACAATGAGGACGTCACTCAGAATCCTTTTTACCACGTTGGAAAGCCATCTAAGAGTCTACAATGTCACCCAGTCATGAATCTATGTTGGGAGGCTCTCCTTCCTGAGGATTCTCAACTACCAGAAACTACTGCATTTAAAAAATACAGTAAGATAAACTGTCACGAGTAATCTGTTTTTGAAAGGAGAACGGACAGAAAAAGGTGGACTCACCCATAACACCACTGCCTGTGTATTTGGCCAGTGTTCATTTTCCTGTCTTTCTTTCAAGTGTGTTTCCTCTGCAACAAGATGTAAGTATGAATGGGATTGCCATTCATAACTCAATTGAACAAGGTTTCCACAAATCAATATATCACATATACCCATGTCCTTAGTTTTGGAGAGCCTTTTCTTAGTTTTCTTTCTTTCCCTCGGAACTTTAATAAGTCTTTCATGTATCAGTTAGGAACTCATTTTAAACCAGTCACAAAAGTTCTTTCCAGGTAACCTGTCCTCGCATGTGATCCCACCATTTGTAAACAGAAAAGGTTAAAAGGTGGCAGTGTACACTCCATTCCATCAACCCAGATACTGTTATTTTTCCACTGAGAAATACAGAAATGAATTTTTTGTTTGATTCTACTGTGTTACATCTTGGGTGAACCAAAATTTCTTGCTAAAGCACGTTGTTTAAAAAAATCTCTTTATTTTTTGTAATTACACAAACATATTTCATGGGTGATGCAGAAAATCAGGTCACACAAGCACCTCATGTGAAATCTGAAGGCATCGACCCCCTAAAAATCTGTCCTCTGTGGCAAGCACAATCATTACTTTGCCTTTATACTTGTAGACCTTTCTTCCTGGCTTCTGTGTTTGTGTGGTTGCAACTGAGTAAATATGGAAGAATATACACAAATACATTCACAAGAATGTTCCTTCCATTATAAATGAAATAAGAGACCCTCAACTGATCAACGGCTCATTTTACTCACTTATAAATGGGAACCGGATACTTCCATTATCGCTACAGAGATCCAAGACATTCTCTTTAGAGAGAAAAGGGTATTTATTCTATTGTATGGCCATGTTATAATTTATCCAATTAATCATCCCTAGGCTGACATTTGTGCCACAAGGTGTACTAGAAATACACATACAAAACATCTTACCTGTGGGGTTATTCATTGCTGCATCCTCTGTAATTTGAAAAAAACGGTGTGGGGAAGGCCAAGTGTTCCATGAGAAAGAATACTTAACTAGTGTCACTACCCAACCTCCCGCTACACATGAGTATCTTAATTCAGCTGTTAGAAATAAAGTGAAAAGTACCGAGGAAAGCATTTTCTCTGTAGGGACACGTAAAAGCAACAAGGTGCAGAAGAGCATATAGCACGTATTGCTTTTGGTATCTGTTGTTGTTAGATGCCGTCGAGTTGCTTCCAACTCATAGTGACCCTGTGTACAACAGAATGAAACACTGCCTGGTCCTGCACCATCCTCAAAATCACTACTATGTTTAAGCCCACTGATGCAGCCACTGTGTCAATCCATCTCATTGAGAGCTTTCCTCTTTTTTGCGGACCCTCTACTTTAACAAGCATGATGTCCTTCTCTAGGGACTGATCACTCCTGATAACATGTCCAAAGTATGTGAGACATAGTCTCACCATCCTTGCTTCTAAGGAGCATTCTGGTTGTACTTCTTCCAAGACAGATTTGTTCCTTCTTATGGCAGTCCACGGTATATTCAATATTCTTCGCCAACACCATAATTCAAAGGCGTCAATTCTTCTTCGGTCTTCCTTATTCATTGTCCAGCTTTCATACGCATATGAGGCTACTGAAAACACCATGGCTTGGGTCAGGTGCACCTTAAGTCTTCAAGGTGACATCTTTGCTTTTCAACACTTTAAAGAGGTCTTTTGCAGCAGATTTGCCCAATGCAATGAGACTTTTGATTTCTTGACTGCTGCTTCCATGGGTGTTGATTGAGGATCCAAGTAAAATGAAATCCCTGACAACTTCAATCTTTTCTCCGTTTATCATGATGTTGCTTACTGGTCTAGTGAGGATTTCTGTTTTATGTTGAGGTGTAATCCATACTGAAAGCTGTGATCTTTGATCTTCATCAGTAAGTGCTTCAAGTCCTCTTCACTTTCAGCAAGGAAGGTTGTGACACCTGCGTAACACAGATTGTTAATGAGTCTTCCTCCAATCCTGATGCCCCGTTCTTCTTCATATAGTCCAGCTCCTCAAATTATTTGCTCAGAATACAGATTGGATAGGTATCGTGAAAGGATACAACCCTGATGCACACCTTTCCTGACTTTAAACCACGCAGTATCCCCTTGTTCTGTTCAAATGAATGCCTCTTGACCTGTGTACAGGTTCCTCATGAGCACAACTAAATGTTCTGGAATTCCCATTCTTTGCAATGTTATCCATAATTTGTTATGATCCACACAGTCGAATGCCTTTTCATAGTCAATAAAACACAGGTAAACCTCTTTCTGGTATTCTCTGCTTTGAGCCAGGATCCATCTGACATCAGCTACAATATCCCTGGTCCCACGTCCTCTTCTGAATCCAGCTGGAATTCCTGGCAGTTCCCTGTTGCTATACTGCGGTAGCCGCTTTTGAGTGACCTTCAGCACAATTTTACTTGCGGGTGATATTAATGATACTGTCCAATAATTTCTGCATTTGGTTGGATCACCTTTCTTGGGAATAGGCATAAATATGGATCTCTTCTAGTTGGTTGGCCAGGTAGCTGTCTTCCAAATTTCTTGGCATAGACAGGTGAGCACTTCCAGCAATGCATCCATTTGTTGAAACATCTCAACTGGTATTCTGTCAATTCGTGGAGCCTTGTTTTTCACCAATGCCTTTAGTGCAGCTTGGACCTCTTCCTTCAGTACCATCAGTTCCTTATCATATGCTACCTCGTGAAATGAACGTCGACCAATTCTTTTTGGTATAGTAACTCTGTGTATTCTTCCCATCTTCTTTTGATGCTTCCTGTGTCATTTAATATTTTCCCAGTAGAATCCTTCACTATTGCAACTTGAGGCTTGAATTTTTCCTTCAGTTCTTTCAGCTTGAGAAATGCTGAGCGTGTTCTTCTCTTTTGGTTTTGTATCTCCAGGTCTTTGCATATGTCATTATAATACTTTGCTTTGTCTTCTTAAGCTGCCCTTTGAAATCTTCTTTTCAGCTCTTATACTTCATCATTTCTTCCTTTACGCTTTAGCTACTCGACATTCTAGAACAAGTTTCAGAGTCTCTTCTGACGTGCACTTTGGTCTTTTCTTTCTCTTTTTAATGACCTCTTGCTTTCTTCATGTATGATGTCCTTGATGTCATTTCACAACTCGTCTGGTCTTTGGTCATTAGTGTTCAATGCGTCAAATCTGTCCTTGAGATGGTCTCTAAATTCAGGTGGGATATACTCAAGGCCATATTTTGGCTCTCGTGGAGTTGTTCTAATTTTCTTTAGTTTCAACATTAACTTGCACATAAGCAACTGATGGTCTGTTCCGCAGTCGGCCCCTGGCCTTGTTCTGACTGATGATATTGAGATTTTCAAGTACCATTTTAGTGTCTGAAGTGAGCTAAATGAAAACATGCATCTGTGTTCACTTCACTTGCATTAAAAGCTAGAAAAAAAAAAGGGAAATAACCCAAACATCTAACTCTAAGGGGACATAAGTTTTACATGAAAAACTGTCTAAATACAAGATATTATACACAGAAAAGAAGCCCATATTACACTTTCAAAATAAACTGCATTGACATATTTTCTTTTATCTGTTCCTCTTGCCTATATCTGTATTTCTTAGCAAGATACTGGGATGTTGTTAGGTGTGGTTGAGTCGGTTCCGACTTATAGCAACCCTACGTACAACGTAACAAAACACTGCCCGGTCTCACGCGCCATACTCACAATCGCTGTTATGTTTGGACCCACTGTTGCAGCCACTGTGTCGATCCGTCAAGGGTCTTCCTCTTTTTTGCTGACCTTCTACCTTACCAAGCAAGATGTCCTTCTCCAGGGACTGGTCCCTTCTGATAACACGTCCAAAGTATGTGAGACAAAGTCTCACCAACAGGGATAGCCTGCTTTTTAAAATGTCCAATAAATTTAATTCCAAAATCTTTAATCATGTAAATATCCTGATTTTAAAAAAAATCTATATACTATTATTTCTTTACTTTTAAAATTCAGCATTCCCTTTTCTACCCACTCATGTTAACAATGATATTTAAAAAAAAAGTCATTAGGCATTCCAACATTTGAGGGTCTAAGTTGATGGGATGGGCTGTGTAGCCTAGCAAAAAAGACAGAGGTAATTTTTAAACAAAAATACAATCCTAATCTTGACCTGCAGGTGGATTTGAACTGCTGATCTTTTGGTTAGCAGCCAAGGTCTTATTCACTGTGTCACCAGGCCTCCTAACTGATAGTTGGAGTAGGAAGAATAATGGCCCCCAAGGATACCCTTGTCTAAATACCTAGAACCTGTGACTATCTTACCTTCCATGTCAAAGGAACTTTGCAAAAGTGATTAAGGCTAAGTACCTTGAGGTGAGGAGATTATACTGGATTATCCAAGTCGGCCCAATTTAACCACACATAGCTTAAAATTTGGAGAATCTTTCCCAGCTGTAGTCAGATGGAGACGTGACTACTGAAGAAGGGTCAGAGAGATGTGATGTTGCTGGCTTAGAAGACGAAGGAGACCATGAGCCATGTATGTGCGGCCTCTAGAAGCTGGAAAAGGCAAACAAATGGATTCTCCCTAGAGCCTCCAGAAAGAAATACAGCTGTGCCAACAACTTAATTTTAGCCCACTGAGAAATGAAAGAATATAAATTTGTGTTGTTTTAAACCACTAAATTGGTTATAATTTGTTACAGCAGGAATAGAAACCTAATTCACCACTTTATTCATACAAAGGATGTTCTCTGACCACAATGGAATGAAATTAGAAACCAGTGAACTGAAGGACTTTTCAAAAATGTAGAAATAATGGAAATAAAACAACATCCTCTGAATAACCAATGAATCAAAGAAGAAAGAAATTACAAGTGAAGGTATAAAAAAACTTTAAGACTACTGAAACAAACACACAACCTGTGGGATACAGACAAAAAAGTGCTCAGATAATTTACAGCTGTAACGCTTACATTTAAAAAGGAAAAAAAGATCTCACATCAATAACCTAACTTTACAACTAGAGAAACTAGAAAAAGAAGAGCAAACCAAGACTAAAGCTAATAGAACGAAGGAAATGATAAAGACTAGAGTAGATACAAAGGAAATAGAAAATAGAAAAACAATAAAGAGAATCAAAGAAACCAAAAGCTGGCTCTTTGAACAGATCAACAAAATTGACAAACCTTTGTCTGTCTAGAATAAGCAGGAAATAAAGAGAAGACTCAAATTACTAACATCAGAAATGTAAAGCAGGTATATTACTAGAGACCTTACCGAAATAAAAGGGACTCTAGGAGAATACTACAACATTCATACACCAATGAATTACATAATTTAGATGAAACGGACAAACTCCTAGGCCACACAAATACCAAAACTGGCTCAAGGAGAAATAGAAAATCTCAACAGATCTGTAACAAGAAAAGAGATTGAATCAATAATGAAAAACTTCCCAACAAAGAAAAGCCCAGGACCACATGGCTTCACTGGTCCATTCTCCCAAACATTTAAATTCTTCAATTACCAATCCTTCTCAAACTTTTCCAAAAAACAGAAGAGTAGGAAACACTTTCTAACTCATTCTTTGAGCGCATTACCCTGATACCAAAGCTAGAAAAAAAACAGGAAAAGAAAACTATTAATATAGTTTATCATATTAATAGTTAACATAATATATTAACAATATTTATGGTTGTAAGGATTAATATCCTTACAACTATAAATACAAAAATCCTCAACATAACCAAAGCAAATCCAGAAGCATATTAAGAGGATTAAATATCAGGACCAAGTGGAATTCATCTCAGGAATGTAAAGGTGGTTCAATGTACTAAATGCTTCTGAACTGTACACTTTAAAATGGTTCATTTCATGTTACGTGAATTTTACCTCATTAAAAAAAAAAACCATTACATAAGAGTATAAAAGAAAAATAGTCTATTTTGACACATATTCCCAAAAAAGAATAGACTCTAAGACATACAAGAATTTTGTATTTGATACAGGCAATCTCCTAAATCTGGGAGTAAAGATGGCCTTGAAACAAAGGGGTAGTCATCTCGAAACAGACTCTTGGTTCCACACCTCACATCCTAAACCAGGATAAACTCTACATGGACCCAAGAATCATACGTACGATGAAAAGAATCATAAAACTACTAGAAGAAATTAGGGACTCATTCTTCCACAACCCTGGAGTGGGGAAAGCCTTTCTAACTCAAAATCCAGAGGCCATCCAAGAAAACATGGATAAATGCGAACA